ATAAAAGCCGATATGCACCCAAAGCATATTACTATCTATGAGTTTCTTATGATGAACATTAACAGCTGCCTCACTACTTTTAGGTTGTGACTGACTGGCTAATGCAGTTCTTTAACCTATATATGATAAGGTTATAATATTGCTATAGTGAACATGTAGTGTTTAAAAAGCGCATTATCTCATGAAGACAAATTTCTGATTGTTTTTTTGATGTAGTATGCAAACACTGTTTCAAAACATATTCATTTCCTAGTTAATACAGTCCATAAGGAAACTATGTTTCAGTGATGTCACAAAAATTTCAGCACACACACACACACACACACACACACACACATATATATATATATATGAGCGTGTGTGTGTGTTTGTGTGTCTGTGTAAAAAAAACTACAAAGCATGCAGTAGTTTAACCCCACCCATTTATGTTGAAGGTATAAGGACTGATTTAGCCTGGAATACTTTTTGAATGAGACACGATACAGGGCAGCACCGAACAGAGATCTGACCTAAAATTATTTTGATATGTCACACATATCGCTGTTGTCGGAAGAAAACCTCATATCTCCAAAATGGTAACTTTACAGGAGAAGGAAAAACCATCTTTACTTTTAATGTAAAGAGTTTTTTCAAAGTCATTTTAGGTCATTTCTTTAGGTCCATTCGACAGGAAATTTACACACAACGTAAAGGACAACAGACATTTTCAAATTTTGTCAAACACTGAAAAATGACAAAAATGGAGATACGAGGTTTTCCGACAGCAGCGATATGTTATAAGATATAATAAAAACCCACATATAATTGGAAAAGTTTGGGGAAAAAAAGATAAGAAAAAATCCCACAAAGATATTTAGGGATCTAGAAATAATTTTTGTAACTTTCCACACTTTAGCAAAAGAAAACAGAGAGTGAGACAGCGAAAAGGAGGACTAGGAGAACAAAAACACAGAGAGAGAAGACAGATAGAGTTTCATGCTTGTGCTCTCTCCGGCACACGCTGGAGCCGAGTATTAGTTGAGTGATTAGTTTCATTACTCGGAGTGTGGCGTGCGGCAAGGCCCACGCCGGCTAATGACATTGAACGTGTGTGCTGAGTTGGAACGGAGAGGGAGAATTAGGGAGCCTCCTCGCTTAATGAGAGAGCGAGCGTGGCAGACTCACTCAGTGTGTCTCTCCACACTCCCCACCAGGAAACCTTCCCCACCTTAACTCTTCCTTTTTTGCAGATACTCTGCAGTGAATACACTGAGAGCCTTTCCCCCCTCTCCTCAGTGACTGCCGAAACGGTCGTGTGGGATGCGCCCCCTCGCCGGTTTGTTCTGCAGGCGCGGAGACTGTGGTGTTTAAGCCTCGATTCATTTGCCTGAGTTTGCCTAAACATTTCACTGTGCACACAGGAAGGCAGGAGCAATTACCATTGAATTTTCATAAGTGTGCCACAGATTGGCCTGTGACTTTGACTGATCAGCCCACTGCTCATACATCTTTGATGTCACCCCTGAGATTTTTTGGTAGTTGGCTTTTTAACAGACACACCAGGGTTTCGTAGGAATGTAGAGAACTGTCCCGGAGTTGGTTTAACACCTTAAAGCCTACATTAGAAGTATCTATATTAGATATTTCTAAATTGGAAATTTCCCCGTTGTGGGACTAATAAAGGTCACTTAACGTATCTGAAGAACCAAAAAAATGGTGTAGATTACAGTTATCAGTACTGCTAAAACTAAAAATCAGTGTTGTTGTGTGAGACCAATAATGGTATACCAGTTTAAACAATATATTTCCCTGCACTAGGATTAACTAACCAGTATGGTCAGATTTACTCCCCAGACTCTGCACTTTCTGTCTCTCTTTTTCCTCTTTATCTCTCACTTTGCTACGTTCTTGAATCCACCAAAAGATATAGACATGCATGACGTCAAGCTTTTCCCCGTCCTTTGCTTCTTTATGGCAGTTCATCGCCCTTCTCTGACCTCTTCAGTTCCGAAGGTCTGTAAAAGCCACAGGGTCTCCCGTCCTGACGTCCAGGAGATGAGGTTGTGTGCCCGTCTCCCAATACTCCTCTTTGATCCCTCCCTCTAAAGCATCACATTAAACCGTCAAGGAGGTTTTCAGTTAATGCCAGACATTACCAAAGATACCTACTTCTTCCCATCAACAATGAAAAAACAGGTTGTTAAAACCACAGAAAAAGAGTGAGAGAGTGAAGAGTTTTCTGTATCCGTGTGCCAGGCTCTACATCAGTGTCTGTCAGTAGCGAGTGGCTGAGTTGATTTTTTTCCCTTTTTTTGTGTCAGAATTCCTTACGGCATCTCTCTGACCCTCGTCTCTTTCATTCCTTCTCTTGCTTCTTCCCTTTGTTTTGTAGAATGAATGTATCAAAGGCCCAAGTTAATAGCGAAGATAAGTACGCCAAATGCGGCACGTGGAGAATGCAACAGCATTACGACGTCGAGGCGAGTCACATGCGCGATGCGCATGCACTATATAACCAAAGGTAAGGAAGGAAAAAATAAAATCATCAAAAGCCAAAATCAGTTGACTTCTGTGTTTTATGTTTGTTTTGTTTTATGTGCTGCAGGACTGCTTGCCAAGTCGTTTTGCATTTGCTTCGAACAGTTCGTGCGAGGCTGTGAACTGCTAGATGTGTGTGCAGTGATGTGTATGTGTGTCTTCTGAGTTTGTGAGTGTGGGCTGGCAGTAGATTGTTGGTTTCATGGGGTTGGTTTTGCTTTGGTGCTTGTGTTAAGCTAAGCTACTGTGTGGATGCGCCTGAGAGAGAGAGAAAGAGAGAGAGAGAAAGAAAAAGAGACTTGCCATCTGTCTCACCTGCTGCATGTAGGTGTCCATCTGCTTTGGTCCAGTGCAGCGTGGAGGCTTTCACCACACCAGCCATGCCACACATCACACTACATCTCTTACACGCCTGCTACACTATCGCTACGGGCCAGAGACAGAGAGAGAAAGACACATGCAAATAGGAAAAAAAGAATGGATGAACAGATAAATAATAGGTAGGTAGCTAGACACATAGATATACACAGACAGATAGATAGATAGATAGATAGATAGATAACAGGGAGAGAGAGGGAGTTAAGTTTATGGGTGTGGGGGTGCAGAGGTTGGCAGTGCTTTGCTGAGGAATGTGTTAAATGCTTGAAGGATTCCGATTAGCATATAAATTTAGATGTATGAAGATCATTGCGTCGATCACGAGTCACTGAGTTTTATCTTGACTTAGTGGAGGCTGATTTGCGTATAAAATACAGCCAGATGTGACCAGTTAAGGGTCTTCCCTCTCTTTGTCTTATGCTCTCTCTCGCTCCCTCTCCTTTGCTCTCTCGCTCCCTCTACGCTCTCTCTCTCTCTCTGTGTGTCTCTCTCTCTCTCTCTCTCTCTCTCTCTCTTAAATGGTTTTGTTTGACTATTATAATTTGAGGTCACATACATTATACTTGTGGTTATTGCTTTGGCCATTAAGGAAGGGTCAGGGAGAAGGTTTCTGCCCCTACACGCTCTGCATTCATTAGGATTTTATTGATGTATTTTTGCGCATATTCTATTTTACGTTTTCTTTGATATTTTGAATTATTTAAAGGGCCCTTCTCATGGAGCACTAAATTTTCCTCACCTTTTTAAAATAAAAGACTAAGAAAACAAAGTTTTCGAACATAACCTTCACCTGTCCATGTGGAAATGAAGCTGCTCGTTTTTAATGAGTGTTTCACTGCTTGTTGTGTGACACACATTACAGGGCAGTCGGCACAGAGATCTTTTACATGCATCAGTCATAAAGACACAGCAACAAAAACAGCCTGTTTAATTCTAAGATAGCAAGAGAAGTTGGAAAATGTTAATGTAAAAATTAATTAAATTAAATCCAAAATAAATGTCAGATTTGTGTCCTTTAAAAGTGTACATAGTGTAGCATAATTCTGCGTGGTTACTTACTGAACGTAAATTAGTATCTTGCACCCGACAGATTTGGGCTCCGCATAACTGTAGTAGATATTATATTTCATATTTTATATCACGTAACTACTGCCTTATAGTTTATGTGCTCTATTTGGTCATTGTTTTATCTTTTTCTAAGCAGGGGTAATTTTATCTCAGCGTGGGGTATCGCCGCAGTAGCCGTGGTGATCTTAGATCAGATATCCAGCCTGGTTCATATTCGTATTGGCCATAGTTTTCTAAAAAAGGTGCTGATCAGGAAGGGAACCTTCGTCAGCCTGCAGATGTGATCTGAGATTTTTGCTCTTCATACGGCAGCGCTAAAACCGTGGGCGGATGTTTTTGGAGTGGTGTTTTCTCTCTAATCCCCTGAGTGTGTATCCTGCTAGTTCTGCTACTGTGTTCCATGTCCACACACACACACACACACACACACACACACACACACACACTGGCATCTCGGCAGGATATTTTGAAGGTTTAAGCAAAACCTTTTAAAAGGGGGTGACTGTGCTTTGACTGTAGGCCCTAAAGAGTATTACGTCAATTGGATTTCGGGGGGGTTAGTCTGGGTCAAACCAATTAGACTCCATTCGCATGCAAAAGGCTTCTCTACTTTAAGCCAATCAGGCTCACGTTACTGGCATGGCTGGGGCTTGTGTCGCTTGACGGACGGGGCTGCCATCGGCTGGACAGTCACGCCACAAGCACAGAGCAAAGCATGCTGGGAGCCGGAGGACAAGGTTAGCTCCATGAACATCTTTGTTTGGTGTGGCACACTGTGAAGCCAAGCATATGCATCGTATGTGATCAGGTACCTGCTGTGCTGTGGAAGGGTTAGTGAAAGAGGAGGATGTTGGGAAATCGAGTCTTTAGCAGCTTTTTTTTCCTCTGCATCATTAGTTTAAAAATAAAGTGAATCGTCATAAAAAGATATAGATTCTCACCCAGTAAGATGTCAGCAAATACTAGCAGCGCTGTAGTGTTAATGCTTCCTGCTGCTAGTACTTTATGCTGAATCCAAAACGTTTTTTTAATGAGTATTTTGTTTGAAAGAATACAGTTAGCAGAAAACAGGTTTGCTTCCTGAGTTCTTGGTGCATTCCAACCATTGATTAGCAAATACCAGATGGTAACTACAGGGCTTCCTCGAGGATAAAATTATTTTATTTTTATTAATTCCAATGTTCATTTTATTGAACAAAGGCATGCTGCCCAGATAAATAGCTGTACATACCATTTTTAAACAGTACTGTACATTGAAGTTATATAAGTTTTCATTGTATATCAGGACCAAAATCAGCACTGTGAAAATCTATATTGTGTTAAAACAATACTATATATATATATATATTATAGTATTATTTAACATCTCTCTAATGTAGATGCATTTACTGCTTGGAGTGGTCATGATTGCAACTTTCTACATCCACTATTTAGTCTGAGTTACTATATTAATTATAATGTGTTTTCTGTGTGGTTGTGAGGAGTGTTGTTCTTGGTTATTACGTTAAGCAGTGTTGTATCGTTGTGCACTGCGCTCCAATGCAATATACAGTCTCTGTCTACTCAGTCATTCATTTATTGCAAACCGCAGCGAGAGTCTAGTATTTCGACTGAACTTTTAAACATGTTGGGTGATGTGGTATCCTACATTAATGACACGTTTATTGTACATAACATACATGACATTCGTATAGAAATGCAGCTGCGCTTGTTAAACATGCCTGGTGACGCAGGGGGGTATCCTACCTGTGCAAAAAGCCTCCTGTGTTATTGAGGACATTTCTAGGCATCCTCAGACCACAGTGTCAGGTTTCAGACATCATACGAAAGAACTTCTCTAAATAAAGCATGAGTAAAATCATGTCTTGGCTCGTGGGCGTCGAGTGAAACAGGCTGTTTTTAGTGAGGCATCAGTCTAAGACTTGAATGGCAGACTTTGTGTAACATTCACAATCCTGTTCTTCCCTACTAGATTAATTACAGTTTTGTGGCCAAATTAAAGATAATGTTATATTAAAACCACAACGTTAACTGAACTGTGCTTTTATTATGTTCTTTTATCTGACAGAGATTAAGCCTCAGCTCACATGCTATCACTGTGATTGCTCGCACGTCCGTTTCAGTTTCAGGGACTGTCATAAAAATACTGGACGAAAAGATTAAGCAAAGATAACAAATATACCAACACCACCAACACCACCTCCGTGATTTACTGTGATTATTTTTAACTTGGTTACCAGAATAAGAGAACTGTTACCACCACAGGCCTAATGGCTCACATTCAGTTACTCAGTAACACCTGGCTTTATGGGTCTAAAAATCTAAAGGACAGGACACACACACACACACACACACACACACACACACACACAATCATGCACACTTTCACAGACTTAGACAAACAAGCACACACACACGCAGGTTGACCAGATCACTTGAGGACAGCAAACGTGCCTGCTCTTAGACCTTGACAAATAAACCCCCTTTACCGAAATAGACAAACATCCACCTTTTGCTACACACACACACACACACAAAGACACACACACACACACACACACACACACACAAAGACACACACACACACACACACACAAAGACACACACACACACTCACTCCCTCCTAAAAACTCACACTGCAGAGTTTGAGAGACTTAACCCCAGTCTTTGGATAACAGAAAAGATCTTAAGCTATTATCAAGCCCGTTGCAGCAGCTGGAATGAACTGATTAATTTTATTTCTCTCCAGAGATGTTATTTTATTTATATGATCAAATACAGGGAACAGGATTGATTTGCCAGGGGAGCGCTTGTTACTGTAAATTTAGCAGCTTGTGTAATAAACTGGATTGCCTTAACCCAGATGGGGGAGTGAACGGCTTTTGGACGCAGCGTTGGGGTGAAGATTAGATTGCAGTTTATGGTGGTGGAGGATTATTAGGTGCTGATGGTGATAATGAAAAGCAGCTCTTTCAGGAGTGGTGGCTGGCAGTTTGCTGTGTCTTTCTCAGACAGTAGCCACCAGTCTGAGATGTTGATCAGTGGGACTCATATTTAAATCTGACTGCATGTTACAGAAACAGGGTCGACCAGCCACATAAAGGACACTGTAATGAAATTTTGCTAGGTGCTTGTTGATGCCATTGACAACCCAACTGTGTGCAACTGTCCTATTTGTGTCTGTGTGTGTGTGTGTACGTGTGTGTGTATGTATGTGTGTGTGCACATGCGTGTTAGAGTAAGCCATTCTTTAAAATAATGCATTTTATTGAACGTAAAAAAAGAACAAGTAAAATCGCAAAAAAAGATTGTTTAAATGATAATGATCAGTATTATAAATAGCATTTATTACAATACTTATTTTATAAAATATTTTATTTTATACTTAATTATTATTTATTATGCTTAATTATTATTATTAATAACAGTAATGTACATTTTACTTATTATAAAAGAAAATACAGAATAATTGTTCATTTTGTGGTGGAGTTAAAGCAGATTGTATATATCTTATTGTCCTTAAAGGGGAATTCTGCT